CCCCAAAACCCCAAAACCCCAAAACCCCAAAACCCCATAATTTACAGTTATTATTGAATTTTATAATTTTGCTCAACTAATATTGGATACTACCATGGTAATGGGCTCCCTCAGCTATTTCGTTAGGCTATCACTTACGCATCTTTAGACTTGACAGGATCGGGTCTCTTCTTCTGAGACAATCGAAATATTTAGTGATATTTTGACTGTTTAAGTGAGGATTGTAGCTGTCCTTGCTCTGGTTTATCCTACAAATAGTGAGTAAATCGATACTTTATGCTACCTTTCTGGTATTTTTGTGGCTTTTTGGTATTCTGGCTGGGCTCTCTGGTAGAATTGCTCTATAATTTCATCACAGAAGACTACATTGTTAAGCTCTGGCAAGCTCTAAAGCGTCAGATTTATAAAATCTTACCGAGAACTTCTTCTCACTATTATAATTTTTAAAGTTATGATAATTATTTCTTGATGGATTGTGAGGATTCGGCTCATATTTCGTAAACTCTTCCTTATTCTTAGCAGGGAGGTGTTCAAGATTGTCCTTGTAAGGGTTCTCAGGGACTATTGGGGCTCCATATTTAGGCTCATCTATTTGCAACCCGCCAGAGTCAATATCATCCCTGCTTGAGTTATGCTTATTGTCGGTTAATCTTCTGGGTTGGAGAGAGTTGAAATGAGCATCTTCAAGAGTTGCGTTCCTGTCGTGATGGGCTTTAAACCTCTTATAGTATTTATTTATCTGCCTCTTTCAAGTCAATATTTTCAACTCATTGGTTGTTCACTCGATTATGAGGATAATCAAACATTCCTTGCAGTGCTAGCTTCTGGATGTCTCTGTCATTCAGCTTCTGTTTTCCTGGTGAAAAATCGTTGATCGTCAGCCTTGAAGTTGAAGACTGGGGCTTTGGCTCATGGTCAAAGGATTTCCTCAAGTTCTCTAGATTGTTAGGTGATTACAGTACTGGCATAGTTTACATTAGAATCCTTCTTAAACTCTTCCATATTGGTGATGTAATCTGAATAAGCGTTAAAGTGGCTGTGATTTTTGTGGTGCTTGCTGAAATATTTCTTGCTCAACTTTAAATTTCGCATATTTATTGGCTTAAAGTCTTCCATAGAGGTATGAGGCCTAAACGATTAGCGAAGAGCATTTACAAGGAGGCTTCCTTGACATCTGTCCCTCTGAACCCAACGATCAAGTTCTCATTTGGTTCTGATGACCTTGTTACTCTTTTGAAATGCATATTTTTGATGGTATTATATGGCTTGGATTCGTATTGAGCGCTATCTAAAAGAAATTTCAGTAAATTTAGATTAAATTCCAGAAATTACCTGCATAAAACTCTACATTTCTGGGAGGATAGTTCATCTCAGGGTGAAACATTTTACCTCCGTGAGTTTGCAACATATTGGATGGGTACATAAGTTCTCCTGTCATTTCCAATCCTTGAGTAGAAAGGATGTGGTTGCTCTTTGTTAAACTATTGAGGGTTAACTCCATTCAGATGTTAACAAAAGTTACAGAATTTGCTTACCTGCCTAACGATTTCCTTAGCTTGCTTCTCCATACCAAATTTTATTCTTTTGAAATAATTTTGGAGTTAGTGGGGTTTTGGGGTTTTGGGGTTTTGGGGTTTTGGGG